ATGAGGTATTAAACACCTTTCACTTTAAAAAGGGGCGGAGACCCGGAGGAAACTCTGAGTTTCCCGAACAAAACCTGCTCCCCGGCAGGTTAGGTTCACAGAGTAAGTTGCCATAGTAACTGACTCTGAGTTTAGATTACCTCTCTTTTTGAAACGGGTTTAACTTACCCCGCTTTCACGGGTTTAAGTTACCTCCGTTTCTGAAACCGAAAACTCTGAGTTTCCCTCATTTCGGGGTTAACAAACTCTGAGTTTCAACAAAACCTCCTTCTTGAAACGGGCCCCTGGCCTACTCAGGTGTCTTGTTTACATGTTATACTCTTTGATAATGTGATTTTTGTCTTGTGACTATCTCACCTTATGTACTTTATCTTTTTTTGATATTATGCAAGATAAAAAAAACTTAGCAGTAATAGAAAAACAAACTGCTGCTCAGTAAACGGGCATTATTTTCATTATTTGTAGCAATACTGAGTAAAATATGTTGTTTTCTTTATATCCACACTGTTTGTCTCGTACCACTAGGTGGCAGTAAAATGGCTCAGCACTCCAATGTGTGTCTCCAAGTGCGACTTTTCACTGAAGATACTGTGATTAAAAAAATATTGATCCCTACCTGTGTGAGTAGTAAAAGAGAATTTCGTCTATGATGGAAAAGAAAGTCAGCTCCATCAAGGCCCAGTGGAAGGTTGGCAGCTCAGGGCCACAGGGGTCCCCTCTCCAGGTCATCACAAAGTAAGTTGCCACCATCATGGGTGCGGAGATGAAAATCTGGTTGAAGAGGACACACCTGATGGCCTGGCGAAGCTTCACAGGGTCCACCTGGAGGACAAGGGACGAGTCGGTCAAGGCCGGTTATCATCTCACACATTATCATGTAAAACTGCATTCCTGTCTGAATATGTATTTAGTTTACAATAAATTACATTTGTTTTGCTGATGCTTTCATTTGGTGACTTGACACAGGTGGATTCAAACAAACTTAATAATGACTGTTACCTGATAAATAAATAAAAATTTTAATCTAAAAACAGGCCATTTTCAGCAGATGCTTTGACTAGCCATAGTAAAATGCTAATGTGAGCTTTGATTAAAGGTCACACTGTTTAGTGGACAACACACTATAACATGTCGCGTTTTACACCAAAACATTGATGAAACCAGTGCATAATGGTTTTATCCCTCATCGTGTGTCGTCACTTACACCTTTTTCTAATATAAACAATGGCCAGAGTCAGACGCATCGCCCTAGTCACTGAATCCACATAGAGCAGATGATAATAGTTTTCCATTTTCAAACTTGTTTTATTTTGATATCATTTTAGATTCAATCTGAATTTCCTTTTAGTTCTATCAGTTTTCTTTAGTTTCAGTTTTAGATTTTAATTTTACTTAAGGATACAAGTTGTCAAGGAACAGTATGAAAAGTAGTGATCATGAAGATACAAAAATTTCAAGACTAAACTGCACTAACATGTGCAATGCAGTAGCTTCAGATTGGCAAAGCCTGTTCATACACAGAAGTTAGGACCACAATTTGGCCATAGTCCTGTCTGTACATCTACTGTCTCCCCAGTGTGTAGATGCCAACGTTACCCTCGTTGCTAATGCTCTTCTTTGCCTGATATCTTTCCATGAATACTACATGTTCCTGTCAGTGGTAATGCTGAAGATGACCTTTAAGATTTGTTGGGTTTTACCCTTTGATTTCTATGTCATGGATGCCGTTACCTGAAAAGACTACGCATTTCCTTCATTTTAGCTATTAAATTTGAAACAGTCCCAAACATACAGAGCTCCTACTTTTTCTTCCTGACCTCACCTTTTAGATTAAATTCAACTTTATTGTCATTACAATATACAAGTACAAGGTAACAAAATACAGTTTACCATCTAACCAGAAGTGCAATAACAGCAGTGCAGAGTGCGCATTATTCACAGTATCTACAGTTAGTACTAAAGAAAGTCACTTTCGGCTTTTCCCGTTTAGGGGTCGCCACAGCGAATCGTCACACTGACGACTCGCATGTTGACATTTGGCAAGTGTTTTTACACTGGATGCGCTTCCTTACGCAACCCTAATTTGAACCTGGGCCGCAGCGGCGAGAGCGCTGCGCCTTAACCACTAGCCTACCAGGGATGGCTATGTACAGTCAGTACTAATTTACCATATGTATAACTGATATAAGATATGTAGGGTAATGTACAATAGACAACAGACTTTTTGGATTTAAATTACAAGTAATGGATAAAGTACATTAAGCTTATAAAACACTAGTGCAATGGGATGAAATGGAATGAGAAGGGTGAGAGGAGTCCTCGAGAACGCTGCGAGCATGTCGGAGACAGTGTTCTCTGTGGACGCTCTCAATGGCTGGAAGTAGAGTCCCTGTGATGCGTCAGGCAGTTTTCACCACCTGCTGCTACACCTTGGCATCAGAAACAGAGCAGTTTCTGTACCAGACTGTGATACAGCTGGTCAAGATGCTCTCAATGGCACAGCAGTAGAAGTTCACCAGGATGGCTGAAGACAGGTGTTTCTACTTCAGAGTCCTCAGGAAGAAGAGGCGCTGGTGAGCCTTCTTAATCAGGCTGGTTTTCACTTGATAAGACCCAAGTCCTGGCACTATATCAACCATCTAAAGCTTGTTGACTACAGCTACATAGAATTTTGGGTCTTGAATTAAACGCTGTACAGAATGATTTCTTTTTCCATTTTCTCAAGTAAATTATTTTCAGTTTACAAAAATGTTTGAAAACCAATAGTTTTCATTGTATTACCTATACAGTAATAATCCTGAGACAGACTGATGAACCAAGTTGCACTGTTACTATACAACAACATGTTCTGCCTTTGTTTATGACTAATAGGTTCAAGTTCAGACAGTTACTTTCAATCACTGAACTTAAATGGCTCTGCTGGGCGCAATGGGCCATAGACACACACAGAGATAAGCTCATCATAGGAGAAATAAAGTTCTATGATTGACATCATAAAACATTATTACTGTGACAAAGAGGTGCTTTAAAATAGGCAAAGCTGCATAAAATGGTTAGTTTTTTTATTAATTTTATTAGTTAACCTAGACATACTATCGGTTGATCAATGACCTGAATAGATTTGAGAGTCATGTCCTGTCCTGGTTATCAGTCGTTATCTCTGCAGTATCCAATGACATCTGCTAATCAAACAGTGTGAAGCCTTTGGCCACATCAGCAACACTGATGTGCTCACGCACACACAACAAAAAAATGTGGGGGTTTATTTTATTGAAATAAGATCTCTTTGACAAATTGACTAGCTGGTTAAATTTAGAACTATCTCAACCAATACCCTAAAAATCTATTATGTGATTAGGACAAAGCAAAGTAAACCTTTAACACAGGAAATGAGGAAAAAAAATAATAAATATTTCTACACAAATAAATAAAAACATTAATAGATGAAAGTAAAAGTTACTGTTCTGTATAAAATTCATTGTTTTTCAAGTCCCATATAATGAAATTTAATGATTTGGAATATTATAAAATAATGCAAATAATGTTCAGAGCAAAATTAAAGTCACTCCCAGATTATGTACAAAGGGTCTTTTAAATACAGGAGAGCAGATATGATCTGAGAGGTGTTTGTAAGTTGACTGTACAAAAAGCTAAAAAAAAAAAAAAGGATTACAAGGACGTGCATTTCTTTTCTTGGGATAAAATTAAGGAATAACGCTGACAAATTTAATAATGTGCAATTCATTTCTGTTTTCAGAAGAATGGTTTTATTTTTGAGGGCAGTAAGTGTCAGTGATTTTTTTTTTCTTTTTTTATTTATGGAGCGTTGTTTAAACAGACAATGTATGCTGGGCATATACTGTCTAAGCTCTGCTTCTGCCTGAGCCTTTTCAGTCACCATTTAATACACAGACTATGAATTTATTGATTTATACTGAATGTACTTATTACATTATGAGTGATGACTGAATAAATAAACTAACACTTTTTTATGCGTTCATGCACTATTAATTGCTGTGACAAAAATGAGATAGTCAAATCTCTTTTGACCAATAAAGTTAATTGATTTATTGTCTTCCAATCAAATTTTTCTTCATTTATCTTTTCATTTATTCATATGCAGTTGAACTAGACAGGTAAGCAGTAGATTATGAGGTCTATATAAAGGTGGGGAGACTGAGATTAGATGGATGTACTGTGTTGTTGTATTGTCCTTCACCATGTAAAATGCCATAAAATCATTTTCTTGACTCAGCACCGGCTGCAAATGGAAGCACTCACTGTGTGAAGGGGCCACGAACTGATGCCCCAGCAGAAGCAGGTTCCATAGAAACAGTACTGCTAATAGGACTAAGTGCTGCTGGTATTTCTATGTAAAAACTTATATAAATATTAAGTGTAGCAAAGGCAGTAGAAGTACCTGTGGTAATATTGGTAGTACAATAATAAATGGCTGCAAAAAAACTGCAGATACTAAACTTGAGGATAAGAAACACTTAAAACCTTTATATAATGACATTGAGGAAAAACTATAAGACAAAATCAAATCACTGTGGAGCCTGGAGCCTACCGGTTTATTCTCGTCCACCTGGATCCGGTAGCGAGTGATGAAGGAGGGTTTCCCTGTGGTGTCCACCACAAGCAGCAGAGCATTGAACAACCAGAAGAGCAGAGCGGGGAGTAACACGGTCCCTGTTGAGAGAGAGAGAGAGGGACAATATGACGACTCCTGACCGGGGCCTGAAGATTTCACTACTTTCTACACAGCTTAAAGTGGACCAAAGACTTGTGCAACAGACCTTTAAGGAGGTTTATTGCATTTTATTTTTCAGCCAACCATGAGAGCTGGTCAGACATCTGATTAAAAGTCTTCAGGTCACATCAATAAAAGGATCTCTTAAAATATTTTCCCCCATCCTCAAATTCTTGAAATAACTGATAAAGACTGATCGACATTACAGGGAACAATCAACGCAATAAGCAGACTAGTACCTTGTGAAATCTTTATTGCACTATGTATGACTTGCATACTTGTACTTTTCATAATACGTTATCGCTATGGAAGAACTTTGTACATGATGTAGGACATTATGTCCTACATCCATAACAAGGGATAATCCTAAAGCAGCCTTGACCGGTCAATCAACCTGAGACTTTTGATTCTGTGCCATCAGATCTAGAGGCATGACAGTTCACGTCATGCACACAGTGTCACAGGCCAAAAGTACAGTGCGTGCGGAGCATAATATCTCATGTCCACCTTGAGTGAGGCTGGCACTTGTGTCTATACTGGGCGGGACAGGTCGCCAGTATATCACAGGGCTGACATACAGTATTGTTCAAAATAATAGCAGTACAATGTGACTAACCAGAATAATCCAGGTTTTTAGTATATTTTTTATTGCTACATGGTAAACAAGTTACCAGTAGGTGCAGTAGATTCTCAGAAAGCAAACAAGACCCAGCATTCATGATATGCACGCTCTTAAGGCTGTGCAATTGGGCAATTAGTTGAAAGGGGTGTGTTCAAAAAAATAGCAGTGTCTGCCGTTGACTGTACAAACACAAAACTATGTTGTACAAACGTTTTTGTTTCTAGGATTTAGCAATCCTGTGAATCACTAAACTAATATTTAGTTGTATGACCACAGTTTTTTATAACTGCTTCACATCTGTGTGGCATGGAGTCAACCAACTTGTGGCACCTTTCAGCTGTTATTCCACTCCATGATTCTTTAACAACATTCCACAATTCATTTACATTTCTTGGTTTTGCTTCAGAAACAGCATTTTTGATATCACCCCACAAGTTCTCGATTGGATTAAGGTCCGGGGATTGGGCTGGCCACTCCATAACATTAATTTTGTTGGTTTGGAACCAAGACTTTGCTCGTTTACTAGTGTGTTTGGGGTCATTGTCTTGTTGAAACAACCATTTCAAGGGCATGTCCTCTTCAGCATAAGGCAACATGACCTCTTCAAGTATTTTGACATATGCAAACTGATCCATGATCCCTGGTATGCGATAAATAGGCCCAACACCATAGTAGGAGAAACATGCCCATATCATGATGCTTGCACCACCATGCTTCACTGTCTTCACTGTGTACTGTGGCTTGAATTCAGAGTTTGGGGGTCGTCTCACAAACTGTCTGTGGCCCTTGGACCCAAAAAAAACAATTTTACTCTCATCAGTCCACAAAATGTTCCTCCATTTCTCTTTAGGCCAGTTGATGTGTTCTTTGGCAAATTGTAACCTCTTCTGCACGTGCCTTTTTTTTAACAGAGGGACTTTGCGGGGGATTCTTGAAAATAGATTAGCTTCACACAGACGTCTTCTAACTGTCACAGTACTTACAGGTAACTCCAGACTGTCTTTGATCATCCTGGAGCTGATCATTGGCTGGGCCTTTGCCATTCTGGTTATTCTTCGATCCCTTTTGATGGTTGTTTTCCGTTTTCTTCCACGTCTCTCTGGTTTTGCTCTCCATTTTCAGGCATTGGAGATCATTTTAGCTGAACAGCCTATAATTTTTTGCACCTCTTTATAGGTTTTCCCCTCTCCAATCAACTTTTTAATCAAAGTACGCTGTTCTTCTGAACAATGTCTTGAACGACGCATTTTCCTCAGGCTTTCAAATGCATGTTCAACAAGTGCTGGCTTCATCCTTAAATAGGGGCCACCTGATTCACACCTGTTATTTCACAAAATTGATGACCTCACTGATTGAATGCCACACTGCTATTTTTTTGAACACACCCCTTTCAACTAATTGCCCAATTGCACAGCCTTAAGAGCGTGCATATCATGAATGCTGGGTCTTGTTTGCTTTCTGAGAATCTACTGCACCTACTGGCAACTTGTTTGCCATGTAGCAATAAAAAATATACATAAACCTGGATTATTCTGGTTAGTCACATTGTACTGCTATTATTTTGAACAATACTGTATAGACAAATAACCACTTACACTCATTCCTATGGGTGATTTAGAGTCAAGTCAAGTCAGGATTTTTATTTGCCATTTATGCATAATCAGACAGTCTAGGCATATAGGAATTCTTGTGCAGCTCTCCTTTGGAGTCAGGTAACGAGTCAAAAGCCAGAAAGAACACTTAGTCTTTAAATAAAAAGTTAGATAAAAAGGCAACAAAGCATTAAAGCTGCAATACACAAAAATTGGTTAATAGTATTTTCCCCAGTGAACTTCAAACATCACACTTAGCAATTCACATGGTGGAGTTGGATATGTCATTACGCTTGGTGGGGTAGTGAGGGGTTATAACATACTAAAACACAGTTTACATTCAGGCCTGTTTCCATTGCTTTGTGGCGAATGTCCTGTTATTATTCAGGTCCCACAAAAGAACCTGAGAGTAACCAATCAACCTAAGCTGCATGTCTTTGAAGTGGGGGAGGAAGCCGGAGTACCCGGAGAAAACCCACGTAGACAGAGGGAGAACATGCAAACTCCACACAGAAAGGCCCCCGGTCGGCCGGGGCTCAAACCCGTTCCCTTATTGCTGCAATCGGTGCATCTCTAGATAATTCCTTCCAATGTGCAGAAACAGTCAGACTGTTCATGACAGAGCAACATGATGGCTGTCTCAAAAAAGTGAGCAAGTTGACACCAGATGTTGTGACTTGATATGAAGAACTGAACATGGCATTTCCTCTGTAGCTGGTACCAAATAAGGTATCTTTTTGTGCATTCCTATAATTTTGAAAGCGAACCCCTGTTTGTGTGTCAGAGGAGATGTGCCTAATATAATTTCAAAATGCAGTGATAAATACTTCATAGTGCTGCAACATGTTCCTCAAAAATAACCAGTGGCTTCTTACCTAAGAAGAACAAAGCAGCATCATGTCCTTCAAATGCCACATACAACGTGGTCCACAAGTTCTGCCAGAAATCTCCTGAAGCTCCCCAGAACCTCTGAAGATGCCTGTAGGAGGAATTGGTGTCGTGTCAAATTTACAACAACATTTTTACATGGTTTCTTTATCTCTTTCAGGTAATGGACATTCAAATCCAGTATCTATGTTTTACCCATAGTCTGAAATATTCAATTTCCGCTAAGTGTGATACGAGTTCAGATGTGTCCTAACAACCACCTAAAAATGCACCAGCAAATGCCCAGAAAAGCTCCAGCACCCATCTAGCAAGAGCCATGAAATATTCTAGCAACCAAATACCTCACTCAACAAAACAAACACTCAGATGATATAAGAAACCACACAGCAAAATCCCAGTGACACCCTCACAACCCACTTATGCTATCCTATCATATATGTACAATAATTTGCTCTTATCCTCAAGTCCTGTCTCATGACCCAGTCCTACCACATCTTAACTAGCAAACTTGATGATGCCCTAAAAAACCACTTTAAAGACAACCTAGTCAGAAGCCACAGTATGAAATGCAGGGAAACACCATAGTAAATATCCAGTCACACTCCATACAAACCACCAAGCATAAACACAGTTAACCTGTTGAACATATACCTTCACGTCATGTCTAGTCTGGTTCCGTTATATATCTAGTGCCATTATATCACATCAAGTCACATTTAGTCCTGTCATGTCCAGTCCCAGCCTGAGCAGACCTCATGTCTCATCATATTTAGTCCTGTCTCATTCTGTCATGGCACATCATGTAATTTCTAGCCATGTGACACATCCTCCCAAAATCTTTCTGCATTGTCTTGTCATCCTATCATGTAGTATGCTCCTATGCTCTATCTTGTCCAGTCCTGCCTGCCAATTCAGGTCTCTTCTGTTCAATTCCTAGTCCTGCTCTTCTTGTTGTGGAAAATACATTTCCTACTGTGCATTAATGTAATATTCCTCAGGCTCATTTTATTATAAACTGCTAGTTCATTGTATGCTGACACTAACATGTAAGCAGATCCTACCATGTCAGTGAGTTGCCGAATGCAGCCAAGAATAAGAATCCAGATCCGATGACAAGCACAGCTTTCTTCACAGAGTCCCACAGTCCTCCAGAGCCCTCCTGCACAGAGAAAAGCCAACAATTGTGTATAAACCCTCTGTTACTCTGAGGATACTACATATGCCATATTTTAAGCATAGCATTACAGGAGAACCACAGTGAAAATAAAAGAAATAATGCAGTGAAGAGTTTGTGTATTTTTAATGATTAAATAAAATCCATCGATCAGAAGAATCACATCATTATTTTAGTGCAATGATTAACTACATAATTCTCCTGTTTAAGTATAAATATAGGGGCCAAGGTGTGCAGAAATTATGAGGGTTAAATCCAGCAGAAACAATGAATGTTCTTTTTCCTCTTAAACGCTAAATGTAAAATGCACAAATGTGTCTAACAAATGCACCGTGCATTTAGTGAAAGCCTAGAAACACAAACTGAATCAGTTCACTCTGCTGGAATTAAATCCAGGGCTTGATGTCACTTTTACCAGATCTTGTGAAATGTCAGCTTTTACCCAAGCTGCCGTTGACTGTTTTCTAGAAATGGTGTTCCATTATTACCTGTCTGTGGGCGCTGCTGCTTGTTGTGGTGGATCCCCTTGTGTCTGCAGAAAAAAATAATACATACAGACAGAAGTAGAACATGTTCATAACCACATATATTTAAGTTTGTAACCACATAATTTATTGTTATGATGATTATGGATGATTTTGGAAGTTCAGTAAAAAACTGCTCTGTCCCAAAAGTATTACTGGTAAAAGATAAGACATTAAATGTTTTGCTGTTTATTATAAAAAAGGAAGGTCTCAAACTGCTTTTTAACTTTCCATGGTACAATAATCATCAGGTCAAATCATTAAATGCCTGCCTTGGTGAATTTGGGCTTCTCCCCCTCAGGAAGGAGGTTTAAAGTACCAAAAACAAAAACCAGATTGAAAAATTATTTTATTGTGTGGACGCTGTAAAGCATCCACAATATGTTCTCCTGATTATTCTGGGATCTTTTTTTTGGCACTTTATAAGTCCAGCATACTTTCAGCTATACAGGCCATTCAGGTATCTAACTTCAGGTATCAAAATGTTTAGCTCTTCAAGGCCATTCCTACTTTATTGCATCTCATCCTTCAGATTATTCAACAAAGAACTTCAGTCATTTCTTCTCAACTATTTCAACAAAGAACTTCAGCCATTTCTTCTCATCCTTCAGCTGTTTCAGCAATTGATTCCAGGCATTTTTAGGACGATCTTTCAGCATATCAGCATCTGCACGCATTTACGACAGGACATGCATCTCTAGTTTCTTCTGCACTCTATTCAATTCTAGGGTTGATGACTAGTTGTCCCTCAGCTTTGTACTACACTGATGATTACTAGGTAACTAGTTGATTTATTGGAGTATCTTATTTGCTAATTTTCATTTTTGATCAGTCGTTATCTGTGTGGTATCCAACAACATCTGCTAATCAAACAGTGTGAAGCTTTTGGCCACATCAGCAACACTGATATGCTCATACACGCGCACACACACAACAGAGAAATTTGAGGGTTTGTTGGGGTTTGACTAGCTGGTTAAATTTAAAAATCTGTGATGTGATTATTAAAGGACAAAGCATATTTGTAAACAAAAAGCTAAAAAAAAAGGATTACAAGGACATGCATTTCCTTTGTTGGGGTTAAATTAAGGAATAACACTGACAAATTTTAAAATGTGTAATTCATTTCTGTTTTCAGAAGAATGGTTTTATTTTTGAGGGCAGTAAGTGTCAGTGATTTTTTTTTTCTTTTTTTATTTATGGAGCGTTGTTTAAACAGACAATGTATGCTGGGCATATACTGTCTAAGCTCTGCTTCTGCCTGAGCCTTTTCAGTCACCATTTAATACACAGACTATGAATTTATTGATTTATACTGAATGTACTTATTACATTATGAGTGATGACTGAATAAATAAACTAACACTTTTTATTCATTCATTCACTATTAATTGCTGTGACTGTATCTTCCAACAAAAATGATCTTAGTCAGTCAAATCTCTTATGACCAATTAAATCTACTTGAAGCTGATTCCTGTACCGACCAATAAAGTTAATTGATTTATTGTCCTCCAATCAAATTTTTCTTCATTTATCTGTCCATCTGTTCATATTCTATTTACTTCTTGGGGCCTTCAGACAAAAGAACAGGGTTAAAACTAAAAGGGGGAATATGATACTGCTGCTTGGAGTTTTTTTTTTCTTTTTTGCTTGTTTGTCTTTTAAGGTGACTGTGAAACAAATTTCCCCCCTCTGGGACAATAAAGTTGAAGCTGAAGTTTACAGCTCATGTAATTTATTATTGACTTAAATTGGCTAAACAGAAAAAATTGAGGTTTGACCTTCGATATATTTCTGACATTGTATTAACCAAATTCCGTTTCATCCATCTATTATCTACGCTTCATTACCCGTATGGCCCATGTATTAAATTTAATTAAACATTATATGAATAATAGGCTACAGATGGGACTATGCTGGTTTACTGAAAGAAAAGTGCGAACACAAAAATAACGTAAGTGCAGTCTTTGCGAATACTGTGAACGATGCTGCGTTTCAGGTAACACTACACTTCCCTATTGCTGACTGCTTTGTCAATAGGCTACTACAGTCTTGCGCCCTGCTCCATCTTTATACTCAGCAAAAACCGATTCTATCGAAATGGTAAAAGCCAAATAAACGAGTGACTTACCCCTGTGTGTTACCTCCATCTTCTTTTCTCCACAGCCTTTCCTATTTTTCGCTCCGAGTCCTTCCAGAGTTTCGCCAGCAATTTATTTGGCACCGCAAGCGAGTTGTGATTGGCGGATTCTTGGTCAGCTGACACGTGACGTACACAGAAGTGGTCGCTACCTGCCTTTGACCTGAAGATGTTTTTTCCTGCATTCCACATGTATCCAGATGAGGGTTGAAACTCCTCTGGTGGTACATGGAGAAGGAAAATACATTTAATAAGTAATGAGTGAGAATAGTAGAACATCCTTCACTTCAGTTATTATTTAGTATGGTATAAAGTTCATTGGTGGGAAGTAAATAAGTAAGTTACATTTACTCAAGTAGGCCTACTGTAAACCTACTTAAGTACAATTTTGAAGTGGGGTGTCAAGTTTACTTAAGTATTTTAATTTTATGCTACTTCATACTTCAACTTCACTACATTTTAGAAGCAAATATTGTAGCTATCTTTTACTGCACTATACATGTTTGATAAGTTTACTTTTCTGAATCAAAATACACTACACCCATAGTCAGATTTTATTGATCTTCAGGTGTGAAGTTCACAAGCCCAGCAAAGTAAAATAATACCATTATTTTTAGCTCCACCTTTAACAGCAGCAACACTGACGTGATGAACACAATAATGCATCAATGATATATTTGTATGTAAAATGTGCCATTCTATATAATGAGTAGGCTACTTTTACTTTAGTACTAGTATGCTAATACTTTGGTACTTTTAGTAAAGTAACATTTTAAAAGCAGGACTTGTACTTGTGAAATAGTATGGTATTTCTACTTTTATTTCATTAAAAAATCTGAATATTGTACTTTTACAATCTTTTCTTATTTGTACTTTTCATACTACTATATATACATACATATGGTGGTTTGTCATAGACTATAACAACTGATTAGATTGACTGATTAGCTGAGTGACAGAAAAAGAACACCACCATTTTAATATCATAATTTTTTATGTTTGTATTGTGAAAGTTTCACTTTGGGCTCTGAATTTTAGAAACTAAAGAATCATTTAGATTGATTATTATCAGATTTATATTTTCTTAAGTAATCAGTTATAGTCCAATAGAAAATAATTAAAAATGAGCTCCACATACAGTACAGTAGCAACAGATACCTGTGAAGTGAAAGACTGAAATAATAATTTAGTACTTTTAACAATATCTATCTGTACATACCAAGCTGGAATAATGAGACCTGCATATGATGGTTAATGTATTGCACAGCTCAAGTCTGACCTCTGGTGTCTCGATGCTGCCACTGCTTCAGTGTGCTGCAGGGTTTTGACATACTTGTCATATGGGTCCTTCACAGACACACTGGGGTAAACAGCCTGGACTGTGTTGTCATTTAAATAGATTATTAGATAATTTTGGGGTGGCATAACTGTGCAGTGGTTATTGCTGTTGCCTCAAGGCAGGAAGGTTCTGGGTTTTCTGTGTGGAGTCTGCATGTTCTCCCTGTACCTGCGTGGGTTCTCTCCGGGTACTCTGGCTTCCTCCCGCAGTCCAAAGGCATGCAGCTTAGGTTGACTGGTTACTCTAAATCACCCACAGGAGTGTGTGTGAGTGGTTGTTTGTCTATATGTCAGCCCTGTGATAGACTGGCGACCTGTCCAGGGTGGACCCCGCTTTTCACCCTATGTCAGCTGGGATTGACTCCAGCCCCGCCCCACAACCCTATTCAGGAATAAGCGGCATAGATAATGGATGGATTATATAATTTGGATGCTTGGAGTTTCAGGTGTGAAATTCACACACTTTGCCGGCCAGTGCAGAGCTGCACTGTTGCTGTCGTGAAATATAATTACATTACTGAACCTGACCTTCACTGACCTGGCTGAAGAGAGGTGGTTCTTCTTCAGTGTCCTCAGGATGAAGAGGTGCTGGTGGGCCTTCTTAACCAGGCTTCAGGTGTTGGTGGTCCAGGACAGATCCTCTGAAATGTGGGTCCCCAGGAATTTGAAGCTGGAGACACATTCAGAAACCATCCCATTAATATGGATGGTACTGTGTGCATTTTGTTTTTGTGCTACTTTACACTTTGACCTCACTACATTTTAGAGGTAAATATTGTACTTTTTATTCCACTACATTTATTTTAGAACTTTAGTTACTACAGGGCGGGCCACGGAAAAGTAGCCCGCCTCCAATACCACGCTCTGAGTACAAGAGCTACTTTTCCGTGGCCCGCCCTGTAGTTACTTTTCAGAACCAGATAATACAAAAATACAGTGTAGTCATAAAACTTTATTGATCTCTGGTGGAAAAATCACAAGCTACCCAGCAGTACTTCAGATCAGATAGTTAAAACTAGCTCCACCTTTTACCAACTGCAACCTTTAATGTAATAAACACAATAAAGCCTCAGTAATTATAGTTAAATCATATGATATACATAATGTTAAATGTGCCATTCAGCATGAGTACTTTTACTGTTATTATTTTATGTTTTGATGCTAATACTTTTTTACCTTTAGTTAAGTAACATTTTGACTACATGACTTTTACTTGTAAAAGAATATTTTTACACAGTCCCTGGTAGGCTAGCGGTTAAGGTGCAGTGCTCTCGCTGCTGTGGTCCGGGTTCAAGTCAGGGTCGCGTCAGGAAGGGCATCCGGCGTAGAACACGTGCCAAATGCCAACATGTGAATCATCAGTGTGACAATTTGCTATGGCGACCTCTAAACAGGAAAAGCCGAAAGTGACTTTCCTAGAATATTTTTACACAATTGTACTGTACTGTCAGGATTGGCAATCGGACTTCAGCCAGCTATCACAAACATTGGCACCCCACAGGGATGTGTCCTCAGTCCCATCCTCTATACCCTGTTCACCCACAACTGTGTCACCTCCCACAAAAACAACATCACCCTAAAGTTCGCGGACGACACCGCAGTGATAGGTGGCATCACCAGCGGGGACGAAGCAGCCCACAGGAGGGAGGTGGCCGGTCTGGTGTCACGGTGCAAGGACAATAATGTCAGCCTCAACACGGACAAGACGAAGGAGATGATAGTGGACATGAGGAAGGAGAGGAGATCTC